ACCAGAAAAATGGAAAGAAAGAAGACCGAACTGCTATATGCTGTCCGTAATAAATCCACCTTAAATATATATAAGGACAGAGATAGGTTAAAAGTAAATGGAAAAGATACCATGCAAATGTTAAGTAAATGAAGCCTCTGGTAACCAGATTAATATCAGACAAAATAAACTTCAAGGCAAAGAGTATCACCAGAGATAAAGACAGACATTTCATAAAAATAAAAGGGTCACTACATCAGGAAGATATAATAATCATAAATGCTTATATTAAATAACGGCTTCAAAGTATGTGAAACAAATTGACATAATTAAAGGGAGAAATAGACAATTTGACAATCATAGTTGGTGATTTTAATACTCTCAATAATTGTTAGGATAACTAGAACAAATGTCACTAAAGACAGAAGATCTGAAAAACACTATCAACAACCTTGACGTACTTGGCATTTATAGAACACTACGTCCAACAACTGCATAATACATATTCTTTTCAAATGCATATGGTACATTCACTAAGACCATATTCTGGACCATAAAACAAGTCCCAATAAATTTAGGAATACTGAAACATACCAAATATGGTCCTCTGACCTGTGAATGAAAAACACTGCCTTCCTTATCAGTAAACAAAAGATGTGGCAGCCATCAAGCCACTGCAGCCACTCCCAGTGGTGCACCCTGAGGGCACTCAGGATGGGAAAGAACAGGATACTGGCCCCAGATAGCTCAGGTGCACATCAAAGAAATGATTTCACTGAGCCCAGATGTTGCATCTTCCCATACCCAGGAAAGTGCTAAATTCATTAACTTGAGATACCCAGTTTTCTTTACCAGTAATCTTTTGGTGTTCCAGCTACCTGGTTTTTGTTGGAAAACTCCTGTATACCCTGGCTCCTCCCCTCCCTCTTCAGAGCAGTCTCTCAGAACTATCTGAGAAGCTGTGTCCTGGGCTTGAAGTCCTCAGAAAGTCTGACAAAACATAATTCTTAACTTTTAGGATGTGCATTTTTTTCACTTGACCACATTGAAAATGTTATAATTTGTCTTTAAAAACAGACTTAAAAAATTAACACAGCTAAATAATTTGTGGGTCAAAGAAGAAAAAATTGGAAAATATATTCAACAAAATGATGTAGAAATACAGCATACCAAAATTTTTAGGATGCAGCTAGCCCAGGGCTAACAGAGATTTGTAGCTGAAAAATGCGAACATTGGAAAAGAAGATCTAAAATTTGTGACCTTACCATCCACTGTAAGAAGTTGTAAAAAGAAGTAAAGTAAACCCAAAAGGAATTAGAAGAATGAAATATGAGTAGAAATCCCAAGTGGAATTTATCCCAGAAATGCAAGGTTGGCTTGACATTAGAAAACAATAAATGAAATTCAAGATATTAACAGAATAAAGGAGAAAATTATATGATCGTTACACTAAATGCAGGAAAAGCATTTGATAAAATTCAGCACTCATTCATGTTTAAAAAAAAAACTCTCAAAAACAAAAGTAAAAGGAAACTTCCTCAACCTGATAAAGGGTATCTATGAAAAACCCACACTGTAGTTAATGGTGGAAGAACTAAAGGCTTTCCCCTAGGATCATGAACAAGACAAGGATGTCTGCTTCCACCACTTCTAGTCAGTATTATACTGAGGTCCTAACCATTGCAGCATGACAAGAAAAAAAAAGGTAAACATCAGAAAAGAAGAAGCAAAACACTATTTCAGATGCCATCGTTATTTACATAGAAAATCCTAAAGGGGGACTTCCCTGGTGGCACAGTTGTTAAGAATCTGCCTCCCAATGCAGAGGACACGGGTTCAATCCCTGGTCCAGGAAGATCCCATATGCTACGGAGCAACTAAGCCTGTGCGCCACAACTACTGAGCCTGTGCTCCAGAGCCCACGAGCCACCACTACTGAGCCCAAGTGCTGCAACTGCTGAAGCCTGCGCGCCTAGAGCTGGTGCTCCACAACGAGAGAAGCCACCTCAATGAGAAGCCCACACACCACAACATAAGAGCAGCCCCCGCTCACCGCAACCAGAGAAAGCCCAGGCACAGCAACGAAGACCCAACACAGCCAAAAATAAATAAATAAATAAATAAATAAATAAATAAAAGAAAATCCTAAAGGAATCAACTACTTCAGCTAATGAGTGAATTTAGCAAGGTTGCAGGAACCAAGTTAATTTGTAAAAATCATTTGCATTTTTACATACTACAGCAAACACTTGGAAAATAGGATCTTGATATTTCATTTACAATTTCATCAAAAAACCAAAATACTTTAGAATAAATTTACAAAGATGTACAAGATCTCTACATGAAAATTTGCTAAGTCTGAAATAAACTGAGGGCTATACCTCATTCATGAATTAAGATGTCAATTCTCCTTAAAATAGATCTGACACAATCCTAATCAAGATCTCACAAGGTTTTTTCTGATGAAATTAACAGGCTGATTCTACAATTTTTATGGAAACGGTAAGATGCTATAATACCCAAAGAAAATCTTGATAAAGAAGAGCGAAGTTGGAGGACTCACACTTCCTGACTTCAAGACCGATTATAAAGCTACAAGTAATCTAAATACTGTGGTATTCTTATAAGGATGGACAAATAATGAGCAGGATACAGATTCCTATAATAAATTCACTTTTGTCTTTTCAGCAAATGACACTCAAATAACTGTATAGCCACACGGACAAAATATACCTCGACTCTTTTACCTCACGCCATACAGAAACAGACTTAAGATAAATCATTGACCCACGTACAAAAGCTAAAACTATAAGATTTCTACAGGAAAAAAACCCGTAAAACTTACGCAACCTTAAGGGAGGTGATGATTTCTTATTACACAAAGAGATCCAAACATAAATGAAATGATTGATAAATTGGGCTTCACCAAAATTAAAAACATAAACATCAGAAAACATCTTTGAGAATTAGGCAATCCAGAGACTTGTCGAAAATATTTCCAAGATACATATCTGAGAAAGGACTAGTATCCTGGATCTATATAAAGAATCCCTACAGTTCAGTAGTAAAAAAAGAGAAACAAATCTTTTAATGGATATTCAACAGATTTTACAATATTTCAAAAGATAAAAAAGCAGATATACGAATGGCCAACAAGCACATTAGTCATCAGGGAAATGCAAATTAAACTACAATGAGATACGACAACACATCCACCAGTATGTTTAACATTAAAATGACTGATACTGCCAAATGTTCACAAGGATGTGGGACATCCAAGACTTGTATCTTGTTGGTTGGTACAGCTACTTTGGAAAAATGTTAGGCAGTTTCTTATAAAATTAAATACACACCACCCCTATGACCCAGCAATTCCACACCTAGGTATTTACCCAAGAGGTATGAAAACATATATCCGCAAATACTTGTGCGAGAATGTTCCTAACAGTTTTATTATTTATGATGGCAAACATTTTTAACAGCCCTGGTTTCTATCAATAAGAAGAGAATGAATATTCAAACAATAAAAAAGTAGCAATAAAAGAACAGATTACTAAGGCATATAACATGGATAGATCTCAGAATTACAGTGCTTTACACAAAACAATACATAACTGTATGATTCCATTTATATGAAGATCTAGAACTAAGCAAGACTAAGTTCTACAAAGTGAAAACAAGTTGATGGTGGAAAAATCCAGAACAGTGATTTCCTCTGTAGGAATGTGGGTAGGGATTTGCTGGGAAGGGACATACAATATTTGGTTGAGAGGCTGCATAGGTAGGTGTTTAATTTGCAAGAGTGTACGCATTTGCGAGACCTCATTCAATGGTACACTTAAGATGTGTGCATTTCATAGTATGTAAATTTTATCCTCCCCCCAAAAATCTGGAAGTAAATAGGATTGTGTTGAACTCTAGGTAGTAATATGAAGGGAGAACTTGGGGGGTGGGGTGAGGAGGGGGCGTGTAGTGATGTCTACAACTTACTTCGAAATGAATCCAAACAAGATGGGTTGATGGATGGAAAGAGGGATACGTAATAGATACGTAATAAAGCAAGTATAGTAAAATGTTCGTTGAGAATAAGGCTATTCACTGTAAAATTCTTTCAACTTTGTTTGAAATTTTTCACAATAAAATGGGATGGGGGAGTAATTGCAGGACTCACCCAGTGTGTATACACATGCTCCTCCTGTAAGCGCTGCCACCTGAAACTCTTGCCCTCGATAGGCTAGATAAAAGAGGGGTATCCGGGGGTGGATAACGGGAGAGGAGTGGGAGAGGAATCCTAGCAGCATCAGGGCTTCTTACGGCAGATGTATTGGAACCCGGAAGTGTGTTTTTTTTTATTCTCTGCTCTTGGGGAGTATAGGTGGGTGGCCTCTGAGCCTGGGGTCACTCTCTCGGGAGGCGAGGAAATTCTCCTTAGTTCGAAGATGCCCATGCATCTTTCCTTCTTGTATTCATACTCACTCCCAAATGCTAGGGGCTGGTGATTCCGAAGGGGCAGTGTGTGGCTGGGTACGCAGGTGGGGGCGAGATGTGTCTGAAGGGGACGGAGCGCCCTCTTCTGGCCCTGGAGGGGCCCACACAGGCCCGCTAAGCACCTGACCTGACCCTCCTCTTGAGCACCCACTCCCGGGATCTGCGCGTCCGGGATGGGAGCGCCGCAGCCCCCCGGGTGGCCCAGCAGGGAGCCGGGCATCAGCAGGCGGAGACTAGTGCTGGGGGCGGCTCCGCGCGGCCGGGAGGCGGAGGACGGGGTGGAGTCGCCACCGCTGCTGCCAGCCGAGCGGCTCCACCTGTTGCAGCGTCGGAGCGCGCGGACCAGGCAAGGCAGAGCGCGGCGTGGACCTCTGCTCCCCCCGCAGAGGGACCCGGAGGACAGTGCTGACAGAGCGGCGCGGAGGGTGCACTCCCCGGTGAGTGAGACTCGAGCGCGGCGCCAGCGCCCCTTGAAAGGCGGGGTCTCGGGGAGGGGCCCCGGCGGTTTGCTAGCGAGCCTGTGGCTAGGGTGGGGTAAAGCACTCTCAGCAGAGCCCTGTCGGCGCAGGATCTCTGGAGCCCGCCGAGGCAGCCAAGCCAGGGTGCAGGAGATGGAATTCTCCGGGGTCACTGCCTCCTGCCCGCGTGCTCCTCCAGTCCCCGGTCCTTGGCAGCCTCCCCAGGAGCTGGGGCTGGCTCGCGGCGCGCGCTTCAAGCGGGCGGATCCGACACGTGGGGGTGGAAAACGCCCCCGCGCGGGATCCAGAAGCCAAGGGCGTCTGGTCGGGCAAGGCTAGGAAGCCTGCCTGGGGGAGAGGCCCCTAACTTCCTTCGCTCCGTCACTCCAACCTCCCTTTCTGGTCTCCTCCTCCAGCAAGTCGGCCCGCCGGACGCCGCGCAGCGTCGGGGGCGGGCGGGAGGTCGGAACCCGTGAACCGCGGTCTGCGCAATCCCTCTGTCCGTGCGCCCGCCCGGGACCTGCTCCAGCCTCTAAGCGCCGGCAGCCGGGCCGGTGACCCGAGAGGCCCGAGGCTCCGTGCGACGCCGAGCCTGGGACACAGCACTGCGGCTCTATCTGGGGAGGCACTTCCAGCACTAGCGGACTGAGAGCCCGCGTCCTAGACGTCAGCGGCTTGAGAAGCGACGGTCAAGGAGACAGAGACCGCGGGGCTCCGCTCACCCGTCAGCCCCCGAGGCCCCTTGCTTTGGGGGAAGGTCAAGCCCACCCGAGTTTGCCCTTAAGATGCGCCACGCCCCCTCCCCAATCTGAGCCGGGCAGGACACCAGGGGGAAGCAGCGGCTGCATCCTCGTGCCAAGCAGAAGCGGACTCTGTGCCGGGTCACTCAGCTCTTCAGCTTTTAGGAGAACTCCTAGGGGGGCGGGGACGGCGGCGAAAATGCGGATTTGAAACTGGAGTCGAGGCGGACGTGGGGGGCTGGCGCCGCAGGAGCGGTCGACGCGGCGGCCCAGGGAGCCGCGTGGCCTGGAGGAGCGTCCGGCGGTCATGGGCGAGCTGGCTGTCGCGCGGCCAGGGGCGGACTGAGCGCCGGGCCGAGACCCCACCTCCCGGGGCGCCCGGGCGACAGTCAGCCGGCGGACACGGCCGCCCGGCTTGGGGCTGCCCCCGGGGGTTTGGCCATGGCCGGCCGGGGTTGCGGCTGCAGCTGCGGCCCGGGCCACCTGAACGAGGACAACGCGCGCTTCCTGCTGCTCGCCGCGCTCATCGTGCTCTACCTGCTGGGCGGCGCCGCCGTCTTCTCGGCGCTGGAGCTGGCGCACGAACGCCAGGCCAAGCAGCGCTGGGAGGAGCGCCTGGCCAACTTCAGCCGCCGCCACAACCTGAGCCGCGACGAGCTGCGCGGCTTCCTTCGCCACTACGAGGAGGCCACCGAGGCCGGCATCCGCGTGGACAATGTTCGCCAGCGCTGGGACTTCACCGGCGCCTTCTACTTTGTGGGCACCGTCGTGTCCACCATAGGTAAGTGGGCCCTGCGGGAGGGCGGAGGGGCGGCTATCCTCGCAGGCGTTTTTCTGGCCCGGCGCTTCGAAGGGCGTGACCGCGCTTCCCAGCCCTGCATTCATCCACCTCCGCGCTCGGCCAGGTGGCACCAATGTGAGCTGTTGCCTGATCCACAGGTGGTATTGCCTGCCTGCTTCTTTAAGTGAGGTCCACGGACCAGCTGCGTCAGCATCACTTGGGAGCTTGTTATAAATGCAGTCTCAGCCCCTCCCCAGACCACTTGAGTCAGAATCTGCGTGTTAAAATCTCTAGGGAATTTGAGTGATCCTTAAATTGGAGACGTTCTGCTCTGGGAGTGTTCCTAGTTAAGGAGACTGAGCTTGAATTCATGGAACATTAGGGAGAAAGCTTACAGATCGGGACAGGAGCCTATAAACATTAATTGAGTTAGTACCATGCGTGAGGCACTGGTCTGAGGGGGAGAAACAAATTTTAAAAAGACTGTCCATGACTTAAAACTTAATAGAAAAAATAGATCGAAAACGAGATTGGAAGTAAGGAGGCAAAAGTGCTAATGAGGATGGAAACTGTTTTCTGCCAGGAGAAAGCAGGTGGTGGTGGGGAGAAGGAACCTATGGGCTGAACCGCTAAGTGTTGGCCTGATTGGGCTCTGGAAACTAAAAGTGCTTTACACTCCGGAGGAGGAGAGAATTGCGTTCAGGGTCCAGTGAGCTCCCTGATCTGTAGGGAGTAGTGGAAGGAAAGCTAGGGGAGTCTCCTGGCTAATGGGATGGAGGGGGGAACTCTAGTGACAGACTCAGGAGCTAGAGCTTATCTAGAGGCAATTGGAAGCTATTGAGAGTTTTTGAGCAAGCGTGTCTCATGGCTGCCATCAGTTATGCCTTTATTACCAGCAGAAGGAAAAAGATTGGGAGTCTTTGCACCACACTCCTAAGGACTGTTCATGCGTAAAGCATACTTGAGTGATAAGGGGGTTGGGAAAGATGCTGTAGAAATTCTGAAGAAAGCAGAGAGCTGGAGCAGAGGAGGGGGCTTTGAAAGGCTGCGCAGACAGGGAGCGGCTCCCGGCTGGCTGCCGGAGCACCGGAGCCGCAGCAGGGCCGGCAGGGGGCTGTGCAGGGGCTTGGCTGCCGTAGCCCCTGTGCTGACGGGAGAGCTGTCAGTGAGGCGGTGACAAGGTGGACTTCTTTGAAGCTCCCACGCAAGGTTGTCTTTGGTAGACGTTCTTCCAGGAGAAGGAACACAAGGTACAACAGGGATCAGCCTCAGGCCTGATTAGTCAAGAAAGACTTCCCAGGGTTAGTCTAGAAGCCCAGGGCTTCAGGTGGTGAGTAGGAGGCAAGGTGGAGAGGACTGGCCTGATTCCAGATACACGGGCTGCGTCTGAAGTGCTTTGTGCTGAACTGCCCAGCTCACCACCGCAACCCTCTCTTATTTCAGGCGGCCCTGCCCATCCGTGGGCCATTATGACACCACAGTAACTGGGTATCTGGTAAGAAAGACTTTCATAGCATTCTCCACGATGACCAGAACACGGGCCCTGACGGGGATGGAGACAGAGTAATACCCTCCACAGCTCTCTCCCCCAGCCCACATTCTCCACTGGACTCTCTTAGCAGAATTACCTAAGTCCTCCCATTTCTCAAAAGACAGTTCCAGAACTTCTATGTAGGGAGGACTTGGGGTGAGCAAACTGATTGGGAAGGGTTGCTGTGGAACTTTCTTTGAATCTGCTATGTCTGTGTAGCTGGTACAGGGTTTTGATTTAGATTATTCATTTGGGGGTGGTTTTGGTGGGAGATTGGGGAGCTAAGTCCTCCCCACGCCCTCCACAGGCCCCCCCGTTTGTACTTCCCATGGCCATGGACGTAGGAAGGAGCAGAGTGTGTGTAAAGACTGGTGAACACCAATGCCAGAGGAACCGCGGATGTCGTGGATGGGTGGGCATATAAGCACACAGTCATCCGGGGGCACAAATAGAATAATGAAGCCTGATGGAATAGAAGAAAACCTGGACCGAGAGTCTGGAGTTGGAGCTACTGACCCTGCCTGTACGTTGGGCCGGTTCCTTAACATTCTGAGCCCCATCCTTCTCTTCTGAGATACCTACAAGTGCCCACCTTGGTATCTGGCACATTGTAGCTGTTGAGTAAATATTAGTCCTGTCTCCTTCCCACACCCTGCCCCTAAGCCTGCCCCTCTCGCAGGGTTCTTGCCAGGGATGATGAGTTCATATAAGTGAATGTTCTTTAAAAAGGACAAAGCACTATGTAAGTATGGGCTTATTTTTACTTTCTCATTTCTCACATGTCCTTAAATTGTTTCATTAATCGCTGATGTAATAACAGCACTTGCAACCCTTTATTGGGGTACATAATTAGGCACATACTGTGATTATTATGTGAATATGTGATGCAGCTCATTTCATCGATTAACCACAATTTCAATCAACACAATTCACATATGTGATATGTGATTCATATGTGTGAAGTGTGATTATCCCTGTTTTATAGATGAGGAAACTGAAGCTTCATGTTCTTTGTGAAATAAAGAAGAAAAAAAAAACCATCTGTAATGACATCACCTAAAGTTGACCATGGTTGACATTTTGGTCATTTTTTTAAATTGAAGGTTAGTTGATTTACAATGTTGTGTTAGTTTCAGGTGTACAGCAGAGTGATTCAGTTATACATACATATATATCAGTTTTTTTCAGATTCTTCTCCCTTATAGGTTATTACAAAATACTGAGTATAGTTCCCTGTACTATACAATAGGTCCTTGTTGGTTGGTGCATTTCTTTCTATTCTTTTTCCCTATGGACACACATATGTACATATGTATTTTTCTAAATTTGGATCATATTCTATAAACCCTTTACATCTTGTATTTTAATCGTAGTATTACGTGATGGTTTTTTCTTCTAAAAATTAGTTCCACTCTGTTTTATTCTGCAAAGGTGTTGAGGTAACAGATAACAAGAAAGCATACAGTAGAATAATCATAAAATGTAAATAAAACCTCAGAACTAGGAAAAAAAGAAGAACAGAAATATGGAAAGCAGTTGGATCTAGGAAATCGGTAGAGAGGAGCTTTGTCTTAGCTGAAGTTCCCTCAGAAGCAGCTTCTGAGCCAAGAATTTGAGTGCAAGCAGTTTATTGGCAGATTCAACGGAGACAGGGAGGTGAAGGAGGAAGTGATACAAGAGAGGGAAGTCAGTCAGTATAGGGTATGGTATTAGGCAGAAAGCATAGTGGGCAACTGATCCTTAATCTCAAGTGGAAGCTTGAGAACAGTGCAAAGCTCATTAACCAGACTTACCCCAGGCAAGGGAGCTGGGGTATTTATACATGCACACTAGTCAGAAAGTGGTTAAAAGCTGCTTGGAGGGTGGGGGAACCACAAAAATATAATTTCCAGGTACTTCTGTCCTGATTTTTCATGGACGGCCCAAGAGTAGCCTTCTGATAAGATATAGGCACTGGCCATTTGAAGTCAGGCCAGTGTGTCCACAAGTGGTAAAGGAGATGCCAGGGGGCGAGGACTGAGTACCACCAGTGACTATTCAAGCTTCAGATTTGGCTGCAGGCTCCATGGCGGAGTCATGACCCACACTGGAAATTTTTTTTTTTGGCTGTGTTGGGTCTTCGTTGCTGCACGCGGGCTTTCTCTAGTTGCGACGAGCGGGGGCTACCCTTCGTTGTGGTGCGCAGGCTTCTCATTACTGTGGCTTCTCTTATGGCGGAGCACGGGCTCTAGGCATGCGGGCTTCAGTAGTTGCAGCACATGGGCCCAGTAGTTGCGGCACACGGGCCCTAGAGCACGGGCTTCAGTAGCTGTGACGTGCGGGCTCAGTAGTTGGCGGCACGTGGGCTCTAGGGCATGTGGGCTTCAGTAATTGTGGCACGCGGGCTCTAGGAAATGCGGGCTTGAGTTGTTGTGGTGTGCAGGCTCAGTAGTTGTGGCTCGTGGGCTCTAGAGCGCAGGCTCAGTAGTTGTGGCACATGGGCTTAGTTGCTCCGTGGCATGTGGGATCTTCCCGGACCAGGGATTGAACCCGTGTCCCCTGCATTGGCAGGCTGATTCTTAACCACTGCACCACCAGGGATGTCCCCACACTGGAATTCTTAGTAGACAAAAGGAAGCATACACCTTTTCCCAATATGCAATTCTCAAAAATATTTTCCTCTTGGGATTTTATGTGGGAAACATTGCATAGGACAGTGGGTGATGCTCACAAACAACAGTTTCCTGGAAAATGCAACTGAGGATTTCATGCAACTGTTGTTTAATTTAAAAGTCAGAGCAGAGTAAAAAACACTGTGGCCAGTTTCTCAGAAGTTTAAACATAGAACTACATGTGACCCAGAAATTCCACTCCTAGGGAATATATATCCCAAAGAATTGAAAGCAGAGACTCAAACAGATACAGGAACACCTCAGAGATGCTGTGAATCCGGTTCCAGACCACTGCAATAAAGCGAATATCACAGTAAAGCGAGTCACATGAATTTTTTTTGGTTTCCCAGTGCATGTGAAAATTATGTTTTCACTGTGCTGTAGTCTGTTAAGTGTGCAATAGCATTATGTCTAAAAAATGTATATACCTTAATTTAAAAATACTTCATTGCTAAAAAATGCTAACCACCATCTGAGCCTTCAGTGAGTCATAATCTTTTTGCAACAGTAACATCAAAGATCACTGATCACAGCCCACCGTAACAAATATAACAATAATGAAAAAGTTTGAAATATTGCAAGACTTACCAAAATGTAACACAGAGACACGAAGTGAGCAAATGCTGTTGGAAAAATGGCATCAATAGACTTCCTCGTCACAGGGTTGCCACAAACCTTCAGTTTGTAAAAAACACAATAGCCGTGAAGCACAGTAAAGCAAAGCACAATAGAAAGAGGTATGCCTGTGTTTGTACACCAGTGTTCATTGCAGCGTTATTCACAGGAGCCAAAAGGTGGAAGCAACCCAGGTGTCTATC